GGGGGGCCCGGGGCCACGCCATCCCTTTGTCTCATTGGTTTTTAACTTAAAATAGACTATATATGTATATATTTATAGGTATGTATAGTGGTGGTTTTCTGGCAGAGCACCTAACTAGACTACAGAAGTACACACACTCCCGGTAACACAGAGCCATCTGTTCAAACACGGTTCCCAGAGACAGTAACCAAACACACACTGAAAAAGCTACAAGCAGAATGACCATTAATTAACCCCAGCACTAACTAGTGCCTGGCGCCCTCCCCAGCCCCAGCGGGGTGGCAGTGCCGAGGGGCTCCCCTGGACCCGGTTGATGGGGTGGCTCTGAGCGGGGTGCCCCGTGGCGGTGAGGGGCTGCCCAGGGACCCGCGGCACTGCCGGGACCAGCGAGGGGCAGGGGTGGGCTGGGTGTGGCACCCTGCACCGGGTGCCCCTCCAGCCCTGCAGCACCTCCTCCAGATGCGTTTGTGGGGTGCAGGGGGGGGCTGTGGGGTTTGTGGGGTGCCAAGGCTGAGCAGCCACATCGTCCCCCCCTTGGCACCCAGTATTTGGACGGGGGGACAACACCCCCACCCGAGCGTGAGCCCCAGCCCCGCGGGGCACCTACTGCACCCACCTCCGCCCCCCTGGCGCTGCGTGTCCCCAGCCAGGAGCTCCGCAGCACCGGCAGCGGCCCCGGTGTCCCGAGGGACGGGCACGGGTGCCCGGTGTCCCTTCTGGGGACACGGGGCACCTCCCGCTCCACTTGGCACTGAGGACGTGCGGCACGTCCTGCGGCGGGGCATGTGGCGTGACCCGCTCGGGGACARCATGGCATGTCCCCCAGGGGACAAGCAGCACGTCACCCCGGCCAGTGCACTTTCTTTGGCAGGGCAAGGGGGTCCGGGCAGGGCTGGGGGAGGGCAGGGCTGAGCGGGCGGGATTCACAGTGATCTGCAGAACGGAAAAGAAACAAAATACATTTTTTCCCCCTCCTTTTCACCCCAATATCTGTGCCCAAGAACGGCTGAGCCCAGCGCAGGGA